CTCAAGTTGGAATCTGGTATATTACCTGGTACAAAGGCCATTAGGTTCTAAAAGCTGCCTGAAATGAGGCCTTACTTCACTCTAAACAGACAATAGGAAGAAGTAATTTTGCAGAAATGTACACTCAGCTGTAATTTGGAATCATGCCAATTACTAACTCAGTGAGATTTTATTCTCTCAACTCCAGGTAAATGGGCTTTTATGTCCCAGAACCTTGCTGGTAATAAAAAAAAAAAAACCTCTAAAAATCTCCAGGCATAGAAATTGACTGTGAAGATGCATGAGTTTACCTTAAATCAGCTCATTGGGACTGAAGTAGCTGTCAAACTGGGTTGGTACAAGGCTCAATGTATTTTAGCACAGTATGTTGGCCAATGTGTTGATTGCACCTACTGTGACTTTGCAGTCCTGATGCTAAGTCAGCCAGAGGTTTAAAACAAATACATCTTAGGGTGTACAAGTCAAGACAAAAATGGCTGAATAGGAGTGGACAAAAATACACAGAACTGAGGAGTACAGAATTGTAGTTGTTTGGGCAGATCTTTCTGAATTGCCCTGGTGACAATTCTGGCTTCCAGGGGAGACCAGTGACCAGAAAGCACAAGCAAAATAAAAAGCCATCTTAATTCTGTGCTAAGCTTTATATGCAACAGAGAAGACCTTCACCTATGAAGTGAAGTGCTGCTGGTATATCACTGCAGGATCCTCCTGAGACAGGACTGAAGTCAATAGGAAATTCTGCAAACAGAATTAACCTTACAAACAGCACTGGGCTGGCTTGGAACTAATGTCATTTGATGCTTTATTTCCAACAGTACCTCACCAAAAACACTGAGCATTGGGGGAAAAAAAATCCATCAACTTCAACTCTGCTGGCTAATACTTGAATAATATATCACACAGAGAAGTTTATTACTGCAGAGTAGAAGTTTATCTTTAAAACAATGACATAAATTATCAAGGGTGCAAACACCATCTCTAAAGTGACAATCAATACAATTGAATTTACAGCAATTTTGGAGCTTCACAGGGAGATCTAACCCAAATTCTCTCATGAAAAAGTAAACAGCTTGCCAAAAGAATAGATAAATCTCCCGTAAAGGTTTTGATTTAGTTCATCCGGTATATCTTGGTTTGCTACATATTTCAACAAGAATAAAAGTACCTTTCTCAATCCCAATTTATTGAGCAAACTTTGCTTTCTTTCAAGGAGATTACTGTGTGACATGACCTTGTTATGTATTTATGCACAAAATACACTTCACAGTTTATTTAGTTATTTTATTATAGATGGAATAATCTGCTGAACATATCAGAAACGTTTACCACTTTGTAAAAACT